CATCATCATCATCATCATCATCGGCAGCAGCATCATCATCGTTGCCAGTATCGTCATCATGTTCATCATGTTTCTCATCAGCATCACCATCATAATCATCATTACCATGATAATCCTTATCTTCATCAACATCAGCATCATCATCATCCTAATAATCCTCGTCGCCATCGTCACCATCGTCATCATACCCACCGCTAATTATCACGACCACCATCATCGGCAGCAGCATCATCATCATCCAAATCATGATAATCCTCATCATCATCAACATCATCATCATCGTCCTCATTATCGTCGTAATCATCGTCATCGTCAACGTGATCGTCGTCACCACCCTCATCACCATCTTGACGGTCCGTATCGTTCTCTTCGCTTGGAGTTGCCTCGTCATCATCCTCGTCCTCTTCTGCCTCCGCCTCATCCGCCTCCTCCTTACCAGAATCATCACCATCATCATCACCATCATCACCATCATCGTCATCATCTGCATAATTATCCTCCCCCTCCATGTAGGAGGAGGAGCAGCAGCTGCCTGAACATGGGAGCACGAGGAAGGATAGGAAGAGGACGAGGATGAGGAGGGCTAGCAGCAGCCGCGGCATCAGGGGCAGGAGCGGGGAGTGGAGTGCCGCCAGAGATCTTGACAGCAGGGGGAGCCAGGGTCCAAGCGGGGCTGTCGCCTGAGACTTCCTCAGCAGCGACGGCCAGAAGCGCACAGTCGTGCAACAGCGACACGGAAGGAGGCGGGGGCACGTGGCTGGCAAGACGAGCTCCACCAGAGGGCCGCGCATTGCCGGTCCGCCCGTGCTTGCGGCGGGGCGTGGCAGGCCCGCACGAGGGGCACGGGGTGAGGTGCGCGAGCCGTCGCCGAGTGCGCAACGGTGGGCCCTTTGCGGACTTGCGCTCAGGGCGCGGGCTGGCACGCGGCCAGCCATGTGCAGCTTGTCTTGCCGCAAGCGTCTGCGTCCGCCAGAACTGCGCGGGCAAGGACGGGGCTCGACCAGGAAGGCCCAGGACGGTGGCGGTATCTTGCACTTCCCCAGTCCTTTGTTTCCGCATTCCCCCTCCGCGTCATTTGACATGTCTGATCACCCTAGGCTTCTCTCTCTCTCTAACTTTCTGCACATTCAGGCCTGCACTCATATATCTTGAGAGATGTCCCTCGTGGGTCCCGCCCACCTGGCTTTTCTTCGAGCACACTGCACGTAGCAAAAAGTTACATATCGGCACGCCCAGACGCGCGCACAGCCGCAGTACTCTGCCGTTCGGGCCGAGGGGTCCAAGATCCCTGTGATGGCTGCTGGTCAGCGCGGGGCGTTGTCTTCCATCAGCAGGCAAAGCTCGTAGCATGCAACTGTGGCATCGTTGCCAGCACTGGTGGCCCTGAGATTGATATTCGCCCCCCCCCCCCTCACGAGATGGGCTGGCGCTGGAAGTGCACGAGGTAGAATTCCACCATCGAGTTCCACGGTCTAGAATGGCAGTCGTGGACAAGAGAGTGCAAGTATGCGAGGCAGAGGCCAGGAAGAAGGGCGGGCGAGAAGGAGCTGCAGCGGCGCCGAGTGCCACATGGGACTGTTCTTACTGACGTCATCGGGGACAGCCAGCGGGCTGCCCTGTGGTGGAACGGAGCAAGCGGTTGCAACGACCCCGCGCTCAGCGCCCGAGTGCACTCCAGCCAGCGAGCCCTGCACGAGTGCTGGCACACAGCATGGGTGCAGCCCCGCCGACTGGGTGCGGACAAGTGCCGCTGGGTGCCGCGGGAGCTCAGCTCAAGAAGACAGCAGACGCTATGGCCAACCACACCATGAACACGAAGGCAAACCACACCACGGCAATTTTCACCACCCACCTAAACCTAAAGCTACGGGCATACTTTGACGGAGGTCGGAGAGACGCTTATATGGCGGGCACTGGGTACCACATTGAAGCGTGGTTGAAGGAGAACGCGAAGTAGGCCAGGGTAGTAGCAGGAGGGACGTGGTTTCCAGGAAAGACGGCGGGGACGACAGAAGTAGAGGCTATGAGTGAGTGCTGACAAGGCGTGCGTGCGATCGCAAGCCACACTGCTGACTTGTTGGAGTAATCATGAGAGCTGAGGATGTTGCACTCTGGAACATCAGGTAGCAGGCATCACAAGTATCCCCCTCCTGTTCTCCTCCCCCTCCTCCTCCTCCTCCTGTTCCTCCTCCTCCTCGTCCTCCTCCTCCTTCTCCTCCTCTTCCTCATGGTCCTCACTTATGCATTCCAACGCTGACAGCCAGCATTTCTGTTGCACTCGCTTGTGCCAGAGATGCTAGCACATCGCCTACCCACGCAGGTGCATGGCGCAGATGCGCCAGCGCTTCCTGGCGTACTGCAGCCACTTCATGGCGGAAAAGGCCTGGCATCCCCTCCACCTTCTGGAGGCTTACGCCGTTCCGCCGACCCCCAAGGAGACACTCGATAGATCTTGCGACAAAGGAAGGACTTGGCCAAGCCTTCCGAGCACAAGCTCGTAACACGTGGCACTTTGCATCGCGAGAAACTTGAAGCCGGGTCTATTGCAAAGCTTCGTGGGGGGGGGCCTCGGGGGGGGCTCTTGAGAGGCTTGTTGGGGTCCCGTGGAACTCATCTTGGGGCCCTCTGTGGGTTCTTGGGGCGCTGTTGGGGGCCTCCTGGGGGCATGTTGTAGGTATGGGAGGCCATTTTGTGGGGAAGGGTCCCTAGGGCCTCCTCGAGTTCCCCCTCTTGCGGTCCTCTTGGGGCTCTCTTGGACCGTCTTGAGCGCCTCTTGTACCGTCTTAAACGCCTCTTGGGCCGTCTTGGGGGCCTCTTGGGCCGTCTTGAAGCGGTCATGGGGGCATTTGGGGCCATCTTGGACGAAGGCAACAAAAAAACGAATGCGCTTTGTATGTTGGGGCCCTCTTAGCGGTCTTCTCGGAGCCCTTTCGGGGCGTCTTGGAAGCCTCTTTGGCCGGAGGCCTCGGAGGTGCGTTGACGAGCTCATCCCCCGACGGGGCCTTTCACCCCCTACACCAGATTCTGGGCTCCTGGGGAGTGGGAAGGGGGGAGGGAACAACAGCCAACTGTCTCGCACGCCTTCTCACCCCCGACAAGCGGGGGTCAGCGGATTCCCTCTACCTTTATTTGTTTTGTTTTCTCTCTCTCTCTCTCTCTCTTTATCTCTCACTCTCTTTCGCTCTCTCTATGTATATATAAACACAAAATTGCATTTGCGCTTCGCGCCGTGCACCTCAAGCTTTGATGTTTGGCATGCAGGCGGAAGGGCAGGAAGGTAAAAGATAAAATTAAACGATATTTCTGCGTTTCTTTTGTTCGACATCATCGTTATGATAATATGATTTGTCATCTGTCCCTGACGGTTCCTCTTCCTCTTCCTCATTCTCGCCTTACCCTTCGAATTCTTACCCATCCTCAGCTCTTTTTACAGAGGATCTTCCTTGGAGAGCATCTTGGGGGCCTCATGAAAGTTTTTCAAGGGCTTTTTGTGGCCCTCTGGAGGACTCCTGGGTTCCTTCTGGGGGTCTCTGCGTGCTTCCTCGGGTCACCCTGCTTCCAAATACGGCCTTCCTGAACGACCGGGTCACGATTTGGACTATTTCGGGGGGCGTCTTGGGGCCATCTTGGGCCGTCATGGGGATCTCTTCGAACATCTTGGGGTCCGGTTGGACCGTTTTCGGGCTCTCTTGGACTGCCTGGAAGCTCCCTTGTATGGTTATCGAGCGATTCTCTGGCCTCCTGGGCGGCCTCGGACGCCCGGCAGACCGCAGAGCAGAGCATTCCCAAACTCATACAACAACCATGGGAAATCACTGCTGTTTTGCGTTTGGAAGGCCTCTTGGGGGTGTTCTCTTGGTCGTCCTCGGGCGTTTGGTGGGTGTCTGGGGCCTCTTGGGACTCTCGCGGGGCCGTTCGGCCGCCCCCCTGACCGACTTTCGCCCGCCGTCGCCGGGGCCCCGCAGAGGCGTCCAGGACCCCCGGAAAGCCCGGGGGAACCCTTCCTGCAGGGGCGCCCAGGGCGCCCTCGGGACCGCGGATCCGGGGGGTCCCGGAGGAGGAGGAGGAGGAGGAGGAGGAGTTTCTGGGGGGGAAGGGGGGGGAAATCTCCTATTCCCCCAGATCTGCAAAAAAATGGAAGAGAAAACATGAAAGTACGCATGTGTGCTTGCATGTTGTACACACACATATGTTTGTCAAGCTCCTTGAGACGTCCTTGACTGTAAAACCAAGAACTTGAACATGCGCAACAGCCGCACGGATGGATGGAGAACGGCTCCTTTTCAAGATGTGGCTCTCTCGCTTACGACTCTTTCGAAGCGCATAGCCAGGAGCGTAAACTTGTACGACGGTTACACGGATGGGAGCATTTTTCTTCCTAGAGACAGGAATATCGGTGCACGCCTCGCTGAGCTGTATGACCATGGCTTTTCGCACTCCCTGTTACATTTGAACAGGGGTTCAAGGAAGTTCCTGTTCAAACTGGGGCCCTCGCCAGACTTGCAGGCCCCATGTGTTGCTGGTCTTCTAAGGGGGGCGCGTCCTGCAGCGAAGGGGAAGCGTGTAGGGATTTATGAGGAAGGGGGCTCTGACTGGAAGGGTGCACTGCAGCATCATTGATGCATCTCGGGTCTACTCGGGTCCTCCTCCTTGTCCTCCTCCTCCTCATCTTCCTCCTCCTCCTCCTCATCATCATCCTCATCCTCATCCTCATCATCATCATCATACTCCTCCTCGTCCTCCTCTCATCCTCCTCCTGCGTTCTCTTCCCCGCTCCCTCCCCCATTCCTCGCACAGGCGCGCGACCTGGCCGTGCGGGTGCAGGCGGCGAAGGCCGCGCGGGACCTGCGGGCCACGGTGGCGATGATCCCCCCCGAGATCTCGCCCTTCGTGCTCGCGCAGGCCCCCCGCTGCTCCCGCCCTCCGTCGTGCCCTCGCGCTCTTCTCGCCCCGCTCGTGCCCTCGCCCTGCCCGCTCTCGCCCGTCGCGCCCTCGCCCTCTAGCAGCCTCGCCCTCCGCGCCCTCGCCCCATCCGTGCCCTCGCCCCTCCGTGCTCTCCCGCCTCGCGCTTCGGCACGTGGGCGCCCGAGCAAGCGCGGACGCTCCACCGCTCGCGCGCGGCGCCCTCTTCCCCACCCCCCCCGCTGCGCGAGCCTCTCGAGGGGGGGGGGGGGAGGAGGGAGGAGGGGGGAGGAGGAGGAGGAGGAGGAGGAGGAGGAGGAGGAGGAGGAGGAGGAGGAGGAGGACGAGGACGAGGACGAGGACGAGGACGAGGACGAGGACGAGGACGACCTGGGCGGCACGCTCGCAGCCTGGCGCTGCACGGAGTTCGGCTGCGCGCAGGGGTGGCCCGTCGCCGGAGTGACCTCTTGGGTGCGGGCCCACGGAGGCCCCGCGCTCGCCGAAAACGCGATGCGACAGCAGCGGCTCGTGCGCTCAGGTTCGGCCCCCCCCGCGGCCCCCGAATGCGCGCACCAGGGGGCACTCTCTGTCTGTGAAGACCGCTCCTCTCCTCCCTGTACTATCCATCCTGCAGTCCTCTCGGCTCAGGCATTTGACAGTCCCATTGGACAGCGCGCCCGATCGGGCCGTGAGAAGGACAAGGGCGCTTTCACTTTCGCATCTCATCCTCGACCAACGGATTCGAGGGTAGGTTCGACCCTTCAGTTTGCAACCTCCGTTCACACTCTCGCCTAGGGTCACTCTTGTGCGTAACCGAGAAAGCCATCCGCGAGAACGTGGCACTGCCACTGTTTTGTCCGCACCGGGCGACCTTCGAGCCCTCGGGGGGACGGGGGTCGTAGATCGAGTTGGTTCGGGACTGCCGCAGAAAGACGGGGGCGAGTGGTGATTCCCCACTGTGGCCCAGTTTTGTGCGCACCGTCGGATCTCAGGGACCGCCACTCTCACCAGTGGGAGAGAGAGAGAGAGAGAAAAAAGGAAGGGGGACGCTTGTGTTGGAGTGCGGCGGGTTTCTGCGAAGGCGCATGCCTTGCCAAGGAACGGGGGGGAGCGAGGAGGGAGGGAACGGAATGTGGGGCGGGCCTCCGGGGACCCCTCCTCCGAGCGAGCTCGGCAGCCCTCAGGCAGCCCCCAGAGATCCGAGGCCTTGATCTGTCCAGCACGGGGCCCCTGGAAGTCCCGACCCTTTCCCCCAGGGCCGGATCCCCATCGCATCGCGTCGCCAGAGGCACGGAAGCTGTTTGAGCTATCGCAGGGCGCCTTCACACCTCGTGGCAAACATTTGGACGCCTGCTGCTGAAAGCTGCGGCCGAGAAAAAACTGCAGCGCAGGATGAGAAGCCGTTGCTGGCTTTTCATCTTGAGTAGAGGTGGACGACCCCAGGGCTTGGCGAGGACCCCTGGAGGCCAAGAACTGCAGAACGTACCCCCATTTCGGGGTTGTTGGGGCAGCGTGTAGAATTGGGGCAACCTTTAAAATTCGGGGTTGTCTGGTTTGCATGCCACTTGTGGTTGGGGCAGCCTCGAAAATATGAGGAGGAGGAGGAGGGACAAGGGAGAGCGAGGACAGGAGGAGAGAGAAAGAGAACGGAGAGGGGGCGAGAGAAAGAGAGGAGGATTGAGGGCAAAGAAGGGTTTGCAGAAGAAGGCGGATGCAGGATCAATAGATTTCGCAAGCGGACCCTGGCGGGTCGGGCGGGCGGACCCGAATTGCTTCATCCGGAAAGTTCTAGTTCCATTGACCCATTGTTTTTTAGGTTTTTTGCCCCGGACGGCCCACAGCCCAAATGTGTTCCGCTGAGTTTCCGTCAGGTTCCGCACCACGAGTGTTTTTGTAAGTTCGATGAAAGCGCACAGATTTCATTTCAAGGGGGGAACGTTGGCGAATCCACGTCGCGCCTTCTTTGTATTCCTCAGACAATCCTATTCTGTATATCAATATCAACGGAGTGTGTTTTTAAAGATTGAGGTGAAAGCTTGGTTCCCTTGTTTGGCCTACCGTTTTGCACTGTTTATTATAGTTGTTGTTTGTCGAAGACCAGCATAGTAGTGGTGGCGGCGCCACAGAGTATACATTGTATGCGTATGTTTGTGCATGTTCTCTGTTGTCGATTCGTTTTTGCAGGATGGTCGCGGTTCTTGTGTAATGTTGATTGCGCCCGGTTTTGTTGATGAATACTACAGATCGCAGCATTATGCGGACATTGTTGCGGGCGAACGGGCGGACACTAATAGGCGGGTCGGGCGGGCGGACCTTAACGGACAAGTCACAGGCGGGCGGGACCTATGAGGCGGGTCGCGCGGGGGGGAGCATTGAAGCGAATTTCGTAATTTGTGAAGAGGCCGCAGGCAACAGCATGAGTCCTGAGTAAATTGCGAGAAGGTTTCGTGCGGGAACGGGATTCATGGACGTCAAGAGTTCAGCGCCTGCTAGAATTTCATGGAAGTCCTCGGCGACAGCGCAACCCGTGACTAAATCGCAAAGAGTTCTCAAACGAGAGCGCGATTCATGATTTCTTGCAAGGAAGTGTTTGGCGGAAACCGTTGTTGCTGTTGTCCGTGAGCCAACGAACCTGTTTGAGGCTCAAGACTTTCCTAGATTAAAGACAAGGTGCGAGCTCCGTGGGGGATGGGGGGGGGGGGCATTTCCGTGGAAAACATAGAATGGGCACCAGACGGCCGGGATCATCAATAATTTCCAGATACTAGACATTCACAATGTTAGCCAGCGTGGACCCCAAACTGTAATCTCTTGCGATCTAGGTGGTACGATCACTGTGGGGCAATCCAGTTGGTGCAAGCCATGTGGTGCAGTCTATGTGGTGCGGACCAACACATTGCAACGCAATGCCAAGCCATGCAACACCATTCAACGCAAGGCAATGCAACGCAAAGCAATGCAATGCAAAGGAACGCAAGCGATGCCACGCAATGCAAACGAAAGCAATGCAAAGCAAATCAAAGCAATGCAACGCAACGCCAAGCAATGCAAAGTAATGCAATGCTGTGCAAAGCAATGCAAAATAGTGGGAATCAATGCAGAACAGCGCAAAGCAAAGCAAACCAAAGCAAAGCAGCGCAAAGCAATGTGAAGCAGTGCAAAGCAAAGCAATGCAAAGCCACGCAACGAAATGCAACGCAATACAAAGCCATACGGAAAGCCATGCAGAGCAATGCAAAGCAATGTAAAGCGGCGCAAAGCAGCGCAGAGCAGTGCAAAGCAATGAATAGCAATGCGAAGCAATGCGAAGCGGGCGGCGACAAGGCGGCGGGCGGCGACGAAGCCGCGACAGCAAAATATGTAGAGCAATCTACGTGGTGCGATATATGTGGCGCAATCTGTATTGCGCAACTCACCCTGCCGAATTTGCAGTTGACAAGTCCATTGCGCGCACAGTCATCCCACCCACCCACCCGCAATTTTGTTGGCAAGCAGCCCATGCGGTGGCGATTAGGGTTATTGCTCGCCGCAGGCTCACGCGCAGAGCGGCCAGCTGGTCTGGCGCGACCGACGCGGCCACGGTGGCGCCTACCGCTGGGCACGCCCCAGCGCGTCTCGCAGGCAGCGCTGACGCGCGGGCACTTCGGTGCGAGTCGGTGGCTCGAGCGGGCGCGGTACCATGGCGACGTCGACAACTGCACACACGATGATGATAGTAGCGAGTAACCTCGATTACAATGACGACGACAAGGCCAATGACGGCGCCGATGCTGATCACGCCGATGACAATGATGGTGTCCACGTGTGGGTGATAAAGGAATTCGACATGCGAGAAAGGGCGTTCGAATGATTTCGGCATGCTCGCGCAAGAGGCCCGCCTGGTCGCATTTGGTGACATTATGAAAAGCCGGTGGTTTCTGCTTCGCACGAGCGCGCGCGCAGACCTGTTTGAACACATGTGCTGCGTTTGAGACATTCGATTCGGAAATCGATACGAAACCGCAGGCGTTTGAAGGAGTTCGACATGCGCTCGCGACGACGCGCACATGCGCATGTCGTCCCAGTTGCGCAAGTAGTTATTGCAAATGTGTTCTTGTGATGGACGAGTGCGCGCATGGTACTGTTTGGCGAGGATGCCCGGGGAGGGTCGAGCCCGGCCTGGCTGGGATAGTCTGAATTCATAATTGGAAAGAACGTTGGGGCAGATTCATGTGTAAATTGCACGTCCCCTGGGGGAACGGTTAAGCCCAGTTTTGGGAGGGTGGTGGATCCGAATTTTTATCAAAAGAGAAAATATGTGTTGTGCAACAGATGGTGTGCTATCTATGGTGTGCACTCTCTGTGGCGCAATCTGCGCGGTGCAATTTATGTGTTGCGATCTACGTTGTGCAATCTGCGCGGTGCAATCTAACCGCGGCGACGGTGGCGACGGAGCGGCGACGGCGACAACGTAGCCGCCAGACCTACAAACACGCCCAGACGACGCGCGGCGACAGGGCAGTAACCGGGACTACATCGCCGCCTGACCGACGCATAGGCCGAGGTCCTTAGAAAGCCAGGACGAACACCCAAGTGCAATTTCTGTTTGAGGAAAAGTAATATACCATGGACGCAGTCACCGTTTGAGGAATAAGCAATTGGGGAAAGAAATAAGAAGCCCTAAGTGCAAGTACTCTGTGGCGTTCTGTTGGGCGTGTTGCAGTGTACGCATGAATTGTGGTACGCAGGGCCACAAAAAGATAATTGCATACCTCATCATCCCCATCCTCCTCTTCATCATCCTCCGTTTCCCTTGCCTTCTGCGCTACGATATGCAAAACAATGTTCAGCCGTACCTGGCAATGGAAAGCAATGAACAGCATTGAGAAGCAGCGCAAAGCAAGGCCAAGCGAATTCAAACAATGCCAAGCACAGCAAAGCAACACAAACAAACAATGCAAACCAATGTGATGCAACGCAAAACAACGTAAAGCAATGCAAAGCAACGCAGGCCCAGACGGTGACGGGGCAGCGACGGCGACCACATAGCCGCCAGACCGACGGGCAGGCCGAGAGCGACGGGGCGGCGACGGCGACCACAGCCGCCAGACAGACGGGCAGACCCAGACGACGGGCGGCGACAGGGCGGCGACGGTGGCCACAGAGCCGCCACACCGACGGCAGGCCCAGCTCCTTAGAAAAGGCGCAAGAGACCCGAAGCGCAAGCACTGATGGGGAATAGCCGAAAATACGACGCCGTCCTTTCCACCCACACATACACACAAACTAACAAGCCAAAAGCAAACAAACAAGCAAACAGACAAACGCGGCGAAATCCAAACCCTACCCCCGCTTCCCATCGATTCTTCTGGATGGCGTGAGGAGGAGAAGCAGCAGCTGAGGGGGGGCAGGGGGAAGGGAGGAGGAGGAGGAGGAGGAGGTTGAGGAGGAGGAGAAGGAGTAGGACGAGGAGGAGGAGGAGGAAGGGGAGGAGGTGGCAACCAGGGGAGAGAGGAGAGTAGTATTCACATGAGGTAATTGTGGAGGGAGGAGAAGGAGGAGGAGGAGGAGGAGGAGGAGGAGGAGGAGGAGGAGGAGGAGGCTGCCCCGCGCGGGCTCGGCACCCTTCCCCTCGGGGGCGCGGCCAGGGAAGGGCGGCGGGGGCACCCGAAGATTTGCCCACGTTTCGCGAGGTGTACCGCCCTCGGCGGGCGTTGTTGTTCATCGACGCGGCGGAGGGCTGTCGGGCCTCACAGTCAACCCACACAGTAAGGATGAGCCTTTTTCCAGGACTGCCCCTGCATCTTTCCCCTTCAGCCCATCCTTAGCGACTTTCGCTGGCAAACCTCGTTCGAAAAACGTTAGCATGGCCCTCCAAGGCCCTTGCATCCTTACCGCGCATCATTATTATACGGATTGGCTGTGAGAACTCAGCCTTAACGCTCGAGAGCGAGGGTTGAGGCTTGCCCTCGTGCCCTGGTGGCATGAGCATGTTGATGCTAGAGCGCGTCGTTTGTAGGCTACCCTGTCTGGTGTCCAAGGTCCAGAGGGAGAAGCCTGAGGTTCCTGGAGACAAGGCGGGAGGGCCCCATTGTGCAGTGGGTGGGCGGCGGTCCGCTTAGGAACGGTTGTCGAGAGGCGGCTGTACTTCCGATCGGGAAGTCAGCTCGGACCATGGAGCGAGCCCTCCCCCACTGTCCGCTTTGCGCAAGTTACGGTCCATGAGTTGGTCATTTGCCATAGGTGCCGTTGTGTTTGCCAGGCTGGCTGGCTTGTTTGAGCGAACGTAGCAGGCCCGACAGTAACGTATGTTATGTCATGTGTGCCAGGTTAGGTGTGTTTCGCCACGCCCCGATGCAGCGTAGACGGTCGTCGTGTTGCGATGCGAGGTGTATCACGGCATGACCAGGTCACTAGGTGGTTCGGCGGTTCAGTGAGGTTGGTAGTCTTCAACCGTATGTTTCTTCATCTTGGTGTTCCGCTCCCTCGCTTGCCAACCCATGCTTGACGATACATAGTTTTACCAGTGCGGCTTCTTCGGTCTCCGCATTGGGTCAAGCTGCGTCAAGCTGCTACTAGCCGGCGTTGTATTGCAAGCTCATTGCTCTCCAGCTGTCTACTGGTGTTGTTACACATGTGCACCAGCCTACTCCCACGTCAAAAGTCCTTGTGCTGCACGTGTGCTCGGCTGCCGTGCTAGGATGACGACCCGCGGGAGATGGTGACCGCAGATGGCTTCGTGAAGAGTTTGTTCCACCTGCCTCGCGTCGCAGACGTGCTCGCCCTCAGGGGAGTCAGCAGAGGCAGCACGAGGGGCACGGATGCGTCGGGGGCGCTCATCTCATTGCGCGAGGGGCTGGAAGAGGAGCGGGAGGAGAGTGGATTCATGTGTGCTACGCGGTTTATGTTTGCGTTAGCGTGTAGATGTTGCGTTCGTGTTCCATGCCGTATGCTCGGCCTGTGTGCACAGGGTCGCGTGGCTCGCTTTGGCGCTTTGGACGTCTGGCGCGCACGCCAGGTCTGCTCTGCGTTCCGCGCACTGCACCTGGGCGGCCTTCGGGACCATTGCAGGTTAACAGCGGGGTTGGCGTGTAAGAGGAAGCAAGAAAAGTGGCCAGTGGTGCGAGTGGCGGGCGCGAGAACGGCGTGTCGAAGCCGTGCGTGAAGCGTCGTCGTCGTCGTCATCATCATCATCACCGCCACCACTATTATCATCGTCAGCATCATCAGCAGCAGCATCATCATTAACATCGTCAACATCAGAATCATCCTCATCATCCTCATCATAATCCTCATCATAGTCATCATCATCATCAGCAGCAGCATCATCATCAGCATCGTCATAGTCATCTTCATCGTCATCAGCAGCAGCAGCATCATCATCCCCATCATCCTCATCATCCCCCCACCCGCCTGTCAGGGGTGCAAGGGCAGTCGGCCACGGCAAACCCAGGAGCAGCCGCTGCCCAGCGCCCGGCAGGAACGCCCGATAACCAACCAGCGGCCGACCCCAAGGTGGGGGAGGGGTTGTGCTAGCCAGGGCCCATAAATTGTGCGCTCGCCCTCCTCCTCCTCCTCCTCCTCCTCCTCCCCCTCCTCCTCCTCTCCTCCTCCTCCTC